CTCCCCGCCGCGCGCTCCCCGCCGCGCGCTCCCCGCCGCGCGCTCCCACGCCTGCCCGGAGCTCGCACCGCCGACGCGCGCTCCACCCCCACCCTCCCGCCCACACGCCGCGCGCCCGCTTCTGCGCGCTGCACCGCCCTGCCGCGCGCTCCCCGCCGGGGCTCAGCCCCCCAAAACACACAGCGCGCCGGCTGGGCATTTAAAGGGACAGCCGCCGCCTCCCCCCACAGCACGCCGCTGCTGCCCGGAGTCCGCCTCTCGAGGGGCGGGTGGGGGTCCTCGGTCTCCGCGCGAGGTCTGAACTGGGGACCCATCGCGCCCTCTCCGAGTTACACCCGCCGCGAAGAGCAATAGGGGTCTGCGTCTGGAGCTCCGAAGGAGACTTGTTCCCCCCCCCCCCGCATCGTCGTCAGCTTTGAGAGGTTATGTTATATTTAGTGATAATAACTCCCAAGTATAGAATTTTTATTACCTTCGGAAAAGGCATTGAATGTACCCATTATTTCACGTAACCCTTGGAACAAGCCTCTGATTCTGTGCCCCGTTTTACACCGAGGGAAAACTGTGGTTCAGAGAGGCGACGAACGTCCTCCCGGAGCTTCTGACCCCATTGCTGGGTGCTATTTTCTTCTCTTCTTCATCGCCGCGGAAATGCCGACTGAGGTTAACAGCTGGTTGTGGAAGGTTCTCCTCAAGTCGTTGAGAGCTAATGGGACCAGTGTTTCCACCGGGCGGCACAGCTCCAGAAGGAGGCAGAAAGCAAGAGTTACGGGGCTTTATTAATTGTAGGGTTTGTTGGGGACTCCGCTGGCAGATATTACAAAACCTATATTCCAAAATGCTGTGTGTGGTGTATCCCCATTGTACAGAAAACTGAGGAAGGAAGTGGTTGGCGGCAGGGCAGGGCTGAGTCACGGGCGGCGCTCAGGGCTGAGCCCCAATACCTTAGTCCTTAGCTCATTTCTTTGCCCTCCCCAGGAAGACACACCTGATTAAAGGAGAGAGACCATTTTTCACTAATAACACACTGGCCTCATCTAACTCCCTGCATCTTTAATTAATGTTTACAAAGCACTTTAATCTACCCAACATGCTAGTTAATTAGGTAAGTACTATTACCCCCCTCTTTCTGAACCAAATCCAGGAGAGAATCAATATTATCAGTCCTTAATCCCTGATGAATAATGGGCCTAAGCTTTCTGCTGTTTATGGGGTTTTTTTTCCAAATTGTGTCCCATATTGTGTTAAATACTAATTCAATATTTAGCATGAAAGGGCTTACTAAAAGTCAGAGACTATTAAACACCCGCGGGTGAGAGGTAAAATAGACAAGGATTTCAGATAAAGAAAAAGACATTTTGTCAAGTGCTTCCCAGAATTTTTTTTTCTTTTTATTATTGTGCTATTTGCTTGGTTGGGTTTTCATGATGTATAAACATATGTTTGGCTTAATCTTTAAAGTTTACTTAAAATTTCTGATTTACACATTATCTTTTGTGTAAAAATTAAATTTTACTCGGTATCTTTTCTTACCGGTGAAGAAGAGATAAGAAGAAATTGAAGGCTGGTGGGATTGGGAAGGAAGAAGGAGAAAAGAAAAGGCAAAAAAACAATCCAAAAAAATCCCAAACACCACCACCACCACCAAAAAAACAGAACGAACAGGGAATTAAGTGAGACAGGTTTCATCCGGGTGGCTGCGGGGCCATGAGGCAGCCCCTGGCTAGCACACCCCAGAGCTTTGTGGGAATTACAAACAGGTGGACCTTCCTCTGGGCTGGGGCGCACCTAGCCAGGGCCCCACAGTGACTACGCGAGCACAGGCTGGCTTCCGGTCCCCACTGCACCCCTGTCGAGGGACCTTTGTGCCACCGAATAACACAAAGGGACCAAAACAACAGGACGGGAAGAAAACAAGAAATGGCTTAGAGGGGTAATTGAAAAATAGTTATTCATGAAAGTACTTACATGACGTCAAGGGAGAAAAAAAGAACAAAGAAACATCTGGAGGGTCTTTGTATCTACCATTGTTTTTCCTTTAAAACCCATGGAATTTACAAAATTTTACTTTATATTCACTTGAGTTTTTAATCAATGTCTTCCGAGGCTGCTCTTTGTCAAGAAAATCCTGGAAACACGTGACCCCCAAGTATGAGACAAATAATATCATGAACTTTGTGTAAATTAAAAATAAACTAAAAAAATTTAAGCTAAACGTAGGTGTATGTTTTATAAAAATAATTGCTGTAGATCATTGGCTTGAGAAACAGCAATATCTGTTTTGGCCACTAGAGGAGGCACACAGGAAAGAAGAAGGGTTAGTAATTTTCATGTTTCCTTTACTAAAAATTATAACATTGTAGGGCTGAAAGAGATGTCAAAAGAAATGATTTTATTTTATGTCTCTTCCACTCAGATGTGTGATTTTGAGCTGTTTATCCTTTTTCAGACTCTTTTTTTTTTAAGATTTTATTTATTTATTTATTTGAGAGAGAGAGAATGAGAACATGAGAGGGGGGAGGGTCAGAGGGAGAAGCAGACTCCCCGCCGAGCAGGGAGCCCGACGCGGGACTCGATCCCGGGACTCCAGGATCACGACCTGAGCCGAAGGCAGTCACTTAACCAACTGAGCCACCCAGGTGCACCTCAGACTCAGTTCCTCATCTGTACAATGAGGCTACCAACATCTACCCTGGGAAGCTAAAACAAAATTATTTTAACGTTTATCTGGATAAATGGCAGTTGAGAAGAGTTAAGAAAATTGTGAAATTGGAGAAAAATATGTCAAATTGCACTGTTTTTAATTGAAACATAGTATAAGACTATAATAATTTAAAAATATCATGATAGAATAGTAACAGATATTGAGTGATAGAGATAATAGAATGGAATCGATAATCCAGAAAAAGATAGTATTGACATAGTGTAGACTTTAAGATGTGTTGAGAGTGTTCTAAAATAAGTGAAAAAGGGACGGATTCTCAATAAATAGGCTTGAGAAAACAGTAATTTGAAAAAATACTCAATGTAAAGTCCTTACCTTTCACTATGTGCTAAAACAAATTTCAGATACATTAAAGATTTTTAAAACTAGGAGAAAATTTAGGGAAATATTTATGGGACATCAAGATGAGGGAAGAAAAGAAATGGAAAAATCATAGATGAAAAGACCATTAGACTCGATTACATAAAAATTTTAAATCCTGACAACTAAAAATATTGTGAACAAAATTTGAAAAGGAAAAAAGACTCTATAGAACTGTGCATAACAAATCTGACAGTTAATTTTATCCTCAATACAACACCCATAGTTGATAAGAAAACTTTGATAACTCAATGGGAAAATTACCTCAAAAAAATGGTTAGTAATTAGCTCTTTCCCTGTGTGTGTTATATATTAAAGTGTCTGAACTACCTAGTAATTGAAAAAGTAAAAATTTAAAATAATGCCTAATATGCCTATTAGAGAATATTTTCTTAAATTCTAATATTCAATACTGACAGGAATGCAATGAAATGGGAAATTTTATGTACTACCAGTGGGAGCATAAATTGACAAAACTTTACTGGAAAGCAATTTTATAAAAATATTTCCCAGCTTTAAAAATGTTTATAAACTTTGATCCTGTAATTCCGTATCTGAGGATTCTATAGAAATAGAAACGAGCACAAAGATTTGCCATGAAGATATATACTAATCTCCTTTTTAAAATGTCAGAAAATTAGAAACAACCAAAACATCCAAAATTAGGAAGAAATAAACTATCATGCAGCTTTTTGAAATGAGGAATTTTTAATGGCCACAAGAGAATATCTAAATATATGGTTAAGGGAGGAAAAGGAACATTACAAAATTGTATATAAATTATTATTTCATGAAATATATTTCCACATACATGGAAAATGCATGTATGTATGGAAAAATTAGAAGGAAATCTGTTGAATTGATGGCCATTAATGTTTCTGGCTCTGATTATGTGATTTTTTTTTTTGGTACTGTATATGTTCCAAATTTTCTGTTGTGACTCTATATTACTTTATACATCAACAAAAACTAGTAAATATTATATTTCTTTATGAGACAGTAAATGCCTATGTGCATAGCATTGAGCCTGGCTTCTATCAAACATTCAATAAATATTTGATAGACAACAGGAAGAAAAGAAAGACATTGATGCACTTCAAGGATGATTTCCTAGTGAAGTTTCTCAATTAAAAAAATAATTAAAAAAATAAGAAATAATTATTCTACTTCTGCAGATGAAAATTTATGACCTGGAGGTCTTTTTGGTGACACATTTAGAGGAAGGCTAGAAAAAATGTAGTGGAAATGGTTTCGTACTTCCCGAAAGCAAGTAGTTGATGTCTGTATTCCAAGGCAGTATTTTGAAGGAGAAACGTGTGGAAGAAACAATTATGGAAGAAAACAGTAAACAAGTTACTCCTACGATTTAATGGTAAGCATTCTGAAAGACAAGCAAATCTCTAGAAGATCCCTGGTGAACAGCAGTGCTGCTCAGGCAAGCGTTAGGACCTGCCCATGAATGAGGTCTAAGCAGGGAAAGAGGATGTATGCCGCCCATTCATCCTTCATCCGAAAATTCCTTGCGGTCCCTTCCGTGGCAAGTGCACAGTGGTAAGGCCTAGGAAATATAACAGTGAAGGGCATAGATAAACCCCCTGCCTACAAGGAATTTATAGTCTAGGAGGGCTTGGAGAGACACAGACAAGACTCAGGTGATAAAATGGTTAATCACTAACAGTCTGTTAATCCACAGGTGATTCTGTAAATAAAAACAATAGTGAGCTGAACTCATTTCCCCCCCAGAGATAAGCCTGAGGCATAATTGGTGGTTAAAATTTGACTGAGGACAGCTCGTTTTGCTGCTGCTGATCTGTGCCCGGCTCGTTTTCAGTTTACAGGTGGAGGACGCAAAGCCGACGGGGTTTGGAAATGGCTTGAGTCTGAGGAGACTGGGGGAAGGGCAGTTGCTGAGGGAAGGACTTTTCAAGGAGAGTCTTAGGAGGTCTCCAGTGCAGGCTGTCTGGTAACCCTCACCCTCCTCCCACCAAACCTTCACTAACTCCCTGCTTCCTCCTGAGTGCTTTTGGTGTCAGTAGATTTGAATACGGGCCGACACCAGCCTCAGGTGAGTGTCAGGTAAGAGCAGGACTTAGCGAGACTCAGTCCAGTTTGTGTCCAGACAGAGCAGGTACCACCTTTGGAAGGACAGATGAGTATGGTGGGTGGAGTACTGTGTAGGTGGATTTTGTTCCCTGTCAGCTACGCTGAACTTTCGCAAGCCCATTTCTGGTCAAATATTTCATTATACCAGATTTCTAAGTTTGAGGGCTGGACATCTTAAAATACAATTCCACTGTGACTCAAGTAGAACTTCCTCCTTGATCTGACCCTGAACTTGAGGATGTGAATTCCCTGAATTGTGAGAGAGCTCTTTCCTAGTGTTGCAGTCAGGGTGAAGATGAAGGAATCACCCACCAGGATATGTGACCACTTAGTGGGGCTGCAGAGTCCTGGTCTGGCCACCAGCTTTACAGACCTGGGCATTTTCAGGCTCTCAGGCACTGCGTCCCCATTGTGTTTCCAAGTTGCAGTATTGGTGAAGGGAGAGTGGGGGAGGATGGGGGAAACCTTACCTGCCACCCTTTGATAAGCTTAAAATATTTTATTTCAATTTCCAGATTTTTGAATAGGATTAAAAACAAAAAAACAAAAACTCTTCCTATGGAGAATCACAACAGGAAAAGAAAAGGGAAATCGTACTACATGCTACCATTCACCGTGAGTAATGAAATGTTGTGGGATGTGTTTCCTGTTGTCCTCAAATTGCCACTGAGGGGTAACAGTACTCACCACCTCCTGCATTCCAAATTCAAGACATCCCCAGGAATTAACCAAGAATGATCTCCTCAGGATTTACTGACAGTCAACAAATCCAAACTGGCCCCACCACCAACACCCCCACTTCCGA